GTGTTTGCCATCATCTGCCTCTGGAATATCCCCTAAAGGCCCACATGCTAACAGCTGGGCTTCTAGCCTGTGTCAGGATTGGTGGTGGGACTTTCAAGAGATGGCTCTTCAGCAAAGGAAGTTGGCTTAAAAGCATTCTATCAAGGCTCTGGAAAGTAAAGGAAACTTGAGAGTCTCAGAAAGTTCCTGGAACTTACAGGGTTCACAGGCCTCCTCTTCCCAAGGCAGAAGAAGTAATAGTGATTGCTGGGAAAAGGGATTGAGCTGGATGCAATCAGCTCAACAGTTCTGGAATCTTTGGCTGATGATCAGGCCCCTTGGAGCTACCTTTCTCTGCAGATGTTCCCTATGCTGGGATCACAGGCAAGGTGGCCATGTCTGCTTTCTCTATGGGCTCCAGCTTTACTCTCTGAGCCACCTGCTCAGCCCCTTAACTCCTGGAATATTTTGGTAAAACCATGACTTGTTTGACGTCTATGGAGTCATCCATAGATAACATCCTGGAGTCCACATCTGACATGTGGTCTTGAAATCATGGGAAGGCATTTCCCTTCTCTGTCTCTTTCATGAACAGATATAGCCAGTGAAAGGCAGTCATACTTCTGTAGGGATAGTCTGCTCTTTCTCTCTGTCTCTCTCTTTCTGTGTGTGTGTGTGTTTTAACCATTTGTTTAGATTGAGGATGTTTTTAGTGATCCATGTTTGGCAGGAATATTAGGTAGGTCCACCCAGCTCATCTCCTGCCTTTAAGGTCTATGCATTTGCTTCCTTAAGCATAATATAAAGCAGTCAGGGCCTTTTCCTGCAGGAATCAATAGAACAGCACCTAAAATAGCACAAAGAATCCGGAGATGTCTTCTGTCAGCTGCTGTGGGCAGGTGAAATTTCTTACGTAGAGAGAATATGCCCCAAAGCAGATTTCATTAATTTTAGGAGGCAAATGTATTTCTTAAAAGGAAAAAAAAAACCATGACATTACCCACGTAGCCTAGCACCACAAACAAGCAGGTCATTTGTAAATTCATACATCTACTTATTCCAAGGAGCATGGTGAATATGTATGGTGTGACTGCTTCTTAAGTTATAGAGGGCACATGAGCTAACACACAAGGGGATTGCCCGAGACAAGATACATGGTGCCTGTTTCCTCTCATAAGAAACAAATTCAATATATTTTGAAATTTCAATAGGAAAAAAACAGGGAAAGCAAAGATGGCTCATATTTCAAGGTGAAAGCCCTCTGGTGACTGAAGAGGTTCCCATTTCTACTGCAATTATATTTCCTGCTCTTTTTATTTTTGTAAATTTTTTCCCCACCCTGAGCTGGCACAGGATGTATTTATAGCAGGGTTTCATTTAGCGATGCTCATTTGTACTGATGGGGGACAGATTTATAGGATCCTAGATTCCTGGTGTCACTATTGTATTATTTATAATTCTATAAATTAAAGCTATTATTATCAACGATGGCCTCTGACAATAGGATGCAGAGGTTGGAAATAGCGTTTAATATTTTCTCAACCCTGATGAATCCTCTATGGATTACACCCTGATGTACACTAAGAAATCATTGTCTTTGCTGCGGGGTGAGGGGTGTGGAGAGGAGGGCTACAGTAATAATAATAATAAGTCACTAATGAAAGACAAAAATTTCAGTACCATTTGTAGGCACTGGGTTTTTAATCTTCCTAATGATAGCCCTGACAACAAATAGATGAGGGAGCTAATACGCGGCTGAGAACGCCAACCGACCGCTCCTCTCCCTCCCCCCATACTCGATTAGCCTCCGGGACAGATTCACGTCATGACTTTTAAATCTCCCTTTTATCTCCGTGTTGGAGTAGGATGTCTCCACTGAGCGATTTTTTAAGCAAGGCCTTTATGACAGATGGGGTACAGGAGAGCCTTTATCTCCTTGAACCAAATAAAACAACCGCACTTAATTGGTGGCTTCAGCACCTAACAGTTTATTTGTGACTCTGGGATGCCTCAAATTAATAATCACATTTGGAGAATGAATGCAGAGAGGCTGGAAGGGAAATGGTTGCATTTCTGAGACTGCATTATAAAAAAGATCTCTTCTCAGACGAAGCCCTGTGTAAGATCCTGGCAGCTGAGGGTTTAAGCACGGCTCTTTCACTTCCTGGCTGTGTAACCTCAATGAAGCTGTAAAGTTGCAGCGCGCTTCATGTTTTCTGTCAGTAAAACTGAGATGCTTTAGTCATAGACTGTGAGGATCTTAAGCACATTAAGTTAGTGAGGGTTAAAGCAAGGTGCCTGAAATCTGTAAACCTGCATATAAACCTGCATGTAAACCTCCAAGCACAGCGCAGCACCGAGTGCCTCGATTCTGGGAGGCTGGGCTGCTTGGCAGTGAAGTACAGAGGACTTTGTCACTGGTAGATGCATTCTGAGTTTGCTCTGGGCCGCTCATGAGTCCAGGAGGGACTCTCCATCCGCTCTCTTCTCTTTGCAAGTTACGTTAAGGCAGTGATAGTTTATGAAGTTGATAACATTTCCTGCTATGAAAGTTGAAGCGAAATATCTTTCAGTTCTAAAGGAAGATAAATTAAAAAATGTGCAGGAAAATGGGTGGACTTAGAGTTTATAGTATTAACTGAGGCCACACAATGTCAGAAAGAAAAAGGGCCATGTGTTTCTCCATTGTACACTGATCCTGGGTTATATATAGTATATGTATGTAAGCAAACGTGTGTGTGTGTGTTTGTGTGTGTGCATGTGTGTATGTATATGGTGTGTGTATCTGTATGTCTGTGTGCAGAATGTGTATATGTGTGTGTGTGTGTGTGTGTGTGTGTGTGTGTGTGATGTGTGCAATATAACATGTAAGGAGGAAATAGGAAGAGGAAATGCTAGGTGGCAAGGAAGGACGAGATGCAGGTAATGGGCATGTGAGTCATCGAACTGAATATAAAGTCAGTTGCTTTTCTAGTTTTAGCACTGTCATGCCTTTTCTTTCTTTCCTTTTTTTCTTTTCTTGTGGTGGATAAGTGCATAAAAACAAAACCGGTATTGAAAGCTTAGAATCTAGCGTGATCCCTGCAGTTGTAGAATGGGTATTCTAACTTTACAGAGGTTGCTGAGATACGGAGGCTTTGGGTCTAGCTGTCTCAAAGTGTGATGTTTCGTATCTATGTCCCTTACAATAAAGTATCTCTTAAGAAGGTTGAGAACATATCAGCTTCACAAGGAGGTACAAAGTCACATGCTATGGATGGGTTCCAGGTGATAGACGAAGTCAACCTTTGTGTCCTTTGAGATTATGTCCTTGTTTTCCCAAACCCCAGGTTCTCTATGTGTCCAGGAGGAGCTATGATGGCTGTGAATGCTGTCTGAAGTCACCTGTACTGCTCCAGGCTAGGAAGGGCCTGCTGTCCTCTGAGGCTTTTTGGCCAGCACTTCCAGCTAGCTCTCAATGTTTAAAAAAAAAAGGAAAATTGAGCACACCATGATGGGAGCCACCAGGAGGAACAGGAGACCCAGTGCTACAAGGTTTCATTCATTCATGTGTGTCCCAGACTCGGTCCCAGGCCCTACCACCTGGGGGTTCCCCAAGATCAGAATGGGAAAGATGATACACAGAGAGGGGGATGAAAGTTGCTTAGACTCTCAGAAGGGAACAAGAGAGGGACTGGAAAGCATGAGGTATTTGTACTATAGAGGGTGAGGCCCATCTGTGAGAGACGTCCTGATGGCCTGAGATGTCACTGTCTCCCATGCTGGCTCTTCTGTCAAGTTGTAGGAATTCATTGACAGCCCTGAGCCATTTCCAATCAAGTACGTGTGGTGTGAAAGATGTCTTGGGATATTTCCCTAGGATCCTTGCTTTTCCACTTTTAACTTCCAACTGAACCTTCATCTTTTATCCTTTGCCATCTAAGACCTCCCTTCCAAGCACGTTGTGAGTCCAGTTCCACTAGAATTTAACCCTCTAGAGGGCAAGCTGGCGTTTAGACAGTGAACTCAGTAATGATGTATATAAAGGAGTAGGGACTGTGCAGCTGAGAAGATGATAAATCACACACATAAGATGATACACTCACATGCACACACACATAGACACACTCACACACACATAGACACACTCACACGCACACAGACATAGACACACTCACACGCACACACACACACACATAAACACACAGACATTCATGCACACACCCCTACCTATGAATATGCCATTCCTGTCTGATTCAGGACCCTGGTTTTTACAGCACCAGCCCTGACTGGACCCTGAACCTCTGTCCCTGTCCGTACTCAGTTCTTCTCTTATCCTCTATGTTGATCTACATCTTATCCGTGCGCCTCTCTTTTCTTCCCCCGGTGCTGCTGGAATTAGACCTCACGATTTTTGCTTGTCAGGCAAGCCTCTGATCACGGAGCTACATCCCCAGCCTGTTGTACAATGATTTTGCATGAGGATTTATTTGTAAAAGCTGAGGTGGAATCTGCCTCACAAGAGCATTTGAGACAGTGTGGATGCTCGAGGGTTAAGTTGGATTGCAAGAGTGTCTAGTTAGTGTAGCCTTGGGGTGAACCATCTGGTTTGTACCTATCTTGGTTAAATATATGATCTTGCAAAAATGTGCATACCAGGCCACTGAGGAAAAAGCCCGGAGATCCAGCATATGGCAGGAGGAGAATGTTAGGGAGAGAGTCTTATCATTACCTCACTCACATTATACAGTCTTCACGACTCAGTATTTTTGAGAGCCCACTCTGGTGCTGATCAGACCTCTTCTCTCTGCAGTGTTTGGGTTTTTTAGGGACATATGCAGGGACCAGGGTGGAGCCCTTCCCCTTGCTTTGCCTCTGTCTCCATGTCATCCCTATCTGATTCAGGACCTTGGTCTCTGCAGCTCCTGTACACTGAACCTTGGGCCTTCGTTCCTGTCAGCTGTGGTGGCTTTTCTTTCAGCCTGTTTGCATTGCTGTAACGAAACACTCGGTATCGGTACTCTATAGAGAGCAAGATTTACCTCTTACAGTTCTGGAGGTCAGGCTTCAAACTAAGGTTTGTTCAGAGTCTGTCTGGTAAAGGTTTCATGTCTCTGCTTGTAAGATGCTGCCTTGGCCACTGTACCCTCCCATGGTGAAAGCAAAAAGGCTCAAAAAGGCTTGATGCTATGCAAAGCATCTGTTAACTAGGAGCTGAGATCACAGTGGGGGGCGAGTCCCCATTATGTAATAATTTTGTATAAGTTACATTCTCAATACTACTGCACCAGGTGATATATTTCAATGTGAATTTCAGAGGAGGCTCTGGCACGTAGACCATGAGGTTGGCCCATTAGACACTGGCTTTCTTTACTCTTTCGTTAAACATTTTGTGCTTCCTCAGGATTCTTGATCTTCTCACCCCTGCGTTGGCCTTCCTACATCCAAGAGCAGGTGGACTTTGGAGACTACACACAGGAAGACACTGGAAAAGGGAACTCACTCTCTTCCCGCACCCTTCAGTGAGAACAGGTGTGCCATTGTCCAGGTGGGCTTCCAGAACAGAGTCCTCCAAGCCTTCAGGATCCTCGGTCCCAACAAGCAAACTATGTAGAACTCAAAGGCAAATGCTCCTTTGTGACATTGCTTGTCTGTCTGTCTTTATACCCCCCGCCCCCCTGCAAAGAATTACTGTACTATTTTCTGTGTCTAGGTTGGATAGACGTTACAGACTCTGCACCTGGTCACATCAGTACTGAGTTTTTAGGCATCTTTTATATCTATCTTTTTTTGCATTTAAAAATAACAGTCTTGTTCTTGAGGCATCAAATAAAATACAGCAGGAAGTTTCTCTATAGGAGAGGAACTATTGTGGACAGACACCAAGAGTCTAGAATTACCTTTGACTAACCCCATTCCAAGATTTATAATTTGGAGTACACAGCCCCCCCAAGGAGAACTTATCAGGTGACTAAGAAGCCCAAGAATTTTTGCTATCTGAATGAGTCTGGTCTATCATGGGCTACTTGTGGCTTTCATTAGAATGCCAGAGAAACCTTCAAGCATCAGGATTTACTATGAATCCAACATGTTTACACTTGTGATGGATGAAGGCCCTGAATCCACAAAGTTCCAAGTCAAGGATGAGCTCATGTCTCAGTGGCTGTACAATTCAAGCATTGTCCCTTGGCCCTTGAGATGCTGCCAATCCAAGGGCATGTTATCCACCAGCAAACATTCCACCTCAAGAGCTGGAGCAATCTGAGCCCTGTCTCTCCACATCATTTGAGACTCGACAGCAGATTCAATAAAAACTCCCCATTTTCTTGTGACTGGGGGCAGGCAGGATAACACCCTCATTAAAGAGTTATAAGGCAGACTAAAGGACAATGGGTCTGGAGTGAAGCTTTAGAAACCACCACATTGGTTTGCAAGCCCGTGCAGGCATGGGGAAACTGAGGACCAAGTAAGTAACCAGATGAGGCCCTGGCACCTGCCGATTCCCGAGTCACCACTCCTGCAGCCAGCACTTAGCATCTGCTCCCTGTTTACACAGCTTGCTGTTGCTTCCTAGAGCCTGGGTCTTGCTTCATTAGGGAGGACAGAGGAATCTGGCATGGAAACTCTCTTTAACATGTGTTTTCCGTCCTTGTCTCATCGACTCAACACGCAGTTATCTCTGCCAGAAATGTCCAATGGTACCTTGGTCAAAGAAGATTTTTATATTGATCTTAATTTAATTAGCGAGTTTGAACTATGGCTTGTGTCATGATTCCTGTCTTGATCCAATTAACTACTGGAGCGGAAGCAGGGTGCATGTGAAATCCTCATGGCGGGGATGTGTGTGCAGAGGCCTCTTCTGTCAGGATCTGCCTGCATGGGGAAAGACTTGTAAACACCGAAAAAGCCATCCACAGCTTAAATCATGTCTGCAAAGGCAGCTCCGAAGTCTTCTAGAAGCATCCTTAGATGCACAGCCAGAAACACCCAGAGCTCAAACCTCTACTGACTCTGCTCAGTCACCTCTAGTTAAGTCCACAAATAAGCACCTTCCTCATCCTTGTCTGAAGGAGGGCTTATGACCTTGATTTTCTTAGTCACCTCTGCAGAAACCAATCTCTAAGCAATGGAAAGTTGTAACCCATGCATCCAACCCAGGCATGCTGCCCAACAAAGTTGTTATTCAGAACTTCAGAGACCCATCCCACTTGGTCATGGAAGCTGACATCAGACACATGTAAATTTAGATGATTTCACGTGCATGAAGTTCTTAATAGAATATTATTTATTTTCTACAATAGAAAGCTTGTTGGTGTTCTAGTGGAACTTAAAAAGCCCCCACATTAGAAAGGTGAGGAAGAGGAGTCAAGAGGGACACAGCTTTGGGGAGAAGAATGTAACCAGGGATAATGCTGGGGTTACAAGTTATAGCTGTGATGTAAGCTTTAAAGAGAAACGCATTGCAGAAATAGTAGTTTTCAGTCATGATATTCAACAGTCTACAGTCACCCAGTACAGAACTTCTGAAAGTCAATTTGACTGAAACCCTTGTTCTTCTTTGCAAATTCAGTCAATGGGTTGAGGGCTGTAGCTGAATTTGATGACATTGTGACTTGACTTCCTAAAGTTTATAGTTGTAGAGAACTGAAAACAAACTTAATTCCCTGACACTTGTGACAATTCAGAGAGGGGGTTCACTAAGGTACACTCATTTGAAACATTTATTGAAAATGGTGTTTAAGGCATACTGAAAATTTTGCTCTCTGTGTTTAAAAAGGGAGAAAGAGATTGGAGTTGTAGTTGTAGGACTTGTTGGTTTAGTGGTTCAGTCTCTCTCTCTCTCTCTTTTGAATGAGGTGCTATATAAATTATTTAGTAAATAGTAATACTAAAAAAGCATTTCATATTACTACAATTCTTTCATTAAACTATTACAAGTAAAAGGGAAAACATCTCAAAGCCAGAGATAATCTCTACATCAAAAAATATGCAGCAAAGATTAAAGAAAGTCAATTAAAACTTTGTCAGATTATTGCTTATTTGATCTCTGATGTTCTATCTACATATATACTCACCATTAAGGTTGCTTTGTCTCATTAGCAACAATAACAATTATCTTAGACATCAGCTACAGATTATGGAGAGGCAGCTCAGTGTGAAAAGAGCTTTCCACACAGGTGGGAGAACACCAGTTCGAATCCCCAGAAAGCAGGTGAAAGCAGAACATGGTAGTTGTGTGTTTGTAGTCCCAGAACTCCTATGGCAAAGCATGAAGCAGAGAAAGAATCCCCAGAGTTCCTGGGCCAGGTGACTCCATTGCTGTGGAATAATCCTCTTGTATACTATAAAGATTTGTCACTTGAACTGGTTTAAAAAATGCTGATTGGTCAGTGGTCAGACAGGAAGAACAAGTGGGGAGATCAAACTAAGGATGACAGGAAGGAGAATGGCAGAGTCAAGAATCATCAGTAAGAAGAGCAGGAGATAAAAGTGCCATGCAGCAAAGGTCCTTTCACATTGCAGAGCATAAATAAGGAATATGGGTTAACTTAAAATGTAAGAGCTACTTAGTAATAAGCCTGAGCTATTGGATAAGAATTTGTAATTTATATTAAGCCTACGTGTGGTAATTGGGAAGTGGAAGCTGGGTATCTGGGAACAGTTGGAGGGATGATAAACTTCTGTTTACAAACTGTGTCAAGCAAGGTGGAAGGTGAGACCAGAAACCCAAGGATGTCTCTGACCTAATGTGAGCTGTGGCATATGTACACCCCACACCCCATACAAAGATGTTTTGAAACTACCAACTAACTTGGTTTGAGCTCAGAAAACACTGTTGCCAAAAGTCCCAGACAAACAGAGCTCTGAAACAATCTACTCTGCTTGCCAACCTCCATTCCATAGTCTCCTCCAAATAGCTATGGCCTTATTTTGTAGCATTTTTTTATGGTATGGTAAGTGATTGATTATCTACCTGTGGATTAGATATTTCCTGCTACTGTGACGAAGTACCATGACCCAAGGCAACTTCAGAAAGACTTCATTTTGGCTTATGAGCCTGGAGGGATGAGAGTCCACCATGGCAAAGTGGAGGCATGGAAGCACGTTGCAATAGTTTCAGAAGCCAGAAGCCCAGAGGCCACATTTTAAATCACAAGTGTGAAGCAGAGAGAGTGAACCAGAATAATTCTCAAAGCCAGCCTCCAGGGACTTTCTTTCTTCAGCAAGACCAAACCGCCCAAGCTTCCCCCAAATAGTACCACCAATTGGTACCAAGAGTTCAATACCCATGCATTTTGGTGTTATCCTCATTCAAAATACCACAGCCCATGTCAGTGTAAAGAAGAGGCCAGGATATCTAGCATTAACTCTCAGTGGACATGTAGCAAGTGGGGTTAACATGACCAAGGATGTTCAGCTGAGGCCCTGTGAAGGGTGGCATTCTTAAAACATTCCTGAGTTCACTCTTCTTAGCCACTTGTCTCACGAGGAACAGCCATCCATGCCTTGCTCTGTTGTTATATTGAACATGGAACTTATCACTTAACTTAAGTTTATTTCCTAAAGGACATTTGCAATACCTAGGGATGTTTTTACTGGTTCCATTTCTGAGTGTGGCTTGATCTTTAATAAACAAGAGACTTTCAGAACCTAATGGTTTTCATTTTAATGAGTTTTTTTTTCAGGCAGCATACATGAAAGTCCGTCAATAGCACTGAGGGTCATTCTACACTTTGGTAAGGACTAATAGAGTTCCTCATGAAGGAACAGTTTCTGAGATGAAGTGGTAAGATGCGTTTGAAAGCAGAGATCAAGGAAATATCAGGGCCAACCCACAGTCATTGTCTCTCTTTCTTCTGTCAGTGGATGGATGCTGAGGTGTGCCAATTTTCACAAAGACCCAAGGCTCTCCTCCTCTATTTAAACCCATACTCTTTGAAAATAATGAATGTTGCAAGCTTTTTTAAAAAAAACTCTCCTGTAATCACATAGCTAAGGAGCCCTGGGGTCTCTGGAAGGTCTGTCTCCATAATGGTTCTCCCTGTTTGAGACATCTGAGCCACAACACACCTTCCAGGCATGCTACCTTTAGGGCAGTGGTTCTCAACCCTCCTCATGCTGTGATCCTTTAATACAGTTCTTCATATTGTGGTGACCCCC